TTAACTGTAGCTGGGAATATGACGTTTCACACATGGAAGACAGCCTGAATTCTGTTTCCTGGATGCCACAAGAGCTATCTTGTATGTCAAATGAAATTGATACCTACTTGGAAAATTTGGACTTCTTGTCCGTTTGCATCCTTTACAATGCTGATGGTTTCTTTTATAACCCAAAGCCGTGTACTAATTTGGATGTTTGGCCTTGGACTGCAGTGCAGACCTCTTGAACTATCCTGTCCACTGATATGCTGGTAAGCATAATGCAGTGGAAAACATAAATTCACCTTTCAGCCCTACTGCAAGTGCCAAAACAAATATCAGTTGTTACTCAGATTACTGCTGCTAAGAAAATGTTCCAGTTATTGTTATGTCAAAGAGGCAAAGACTGCCAAATCTGTAAGAATAGAAATGTGGTTCACTGAAGTATTTAAAACATGAAGGGCAAGATTTATTGTTAGACTCCTAAGGATATGAAGGGATTGGGGGTGGGGGGGGAAAGCTCTGGTTTGGAACAAGAATGTGACCCCTTGTCCAGAGTGTACTGGTGAGGCAAGTGAAAGGTTTAAAGGAGGAAAACAGACTAAAAGCCTTGGCTATCTGAATAGAGCAGAAAAGGGAAAGATGATGGAAGGTTCTGATCGGTTTTGTTAGTGTTTCCTTAAAAGAATTTAGGGAATTCCTCTGCAGAGAAAAAAGTTGATGAGAGAATTTAAGGAATGAGTTCACAGATGCAAAAAGTTACTTCATCTGAGGCTGTAAAACCTCATTATATTAGAGAAGTAGAGTTTGGAGGTAAGAAGTTTGAACTTTAGAAGGATCATAGAATCATGGAATATCCTGGTTTGGAAGGGACACATCAGGACCATTGAATCCAACTCCCTGCTACTCGCAGGACCACCTAAAACTAAACTGTATGACTAAGAGTGTCGTCCAGACACTCCTTCAACTCTGACAGGGTTGGTGCTCTGACCACTTCTCTGGGAGCCTGTTCCAGTGACAGAGCACCATCTCGGTGAGGAATCTTTTCCTAATGTTCTAACCTGAACTTCCCCGACACAGTTTCATTCCTTTTCCTCATGTCCTGTTGTGGCTGGTCACCAGGGAGAGAAGATCCGCACCTCCCCTCCATGGCCCCCCATGAGGAAGGTGCAGACTGCTATGAGAGCACCCCTCAGCCTTCTCTGCTCCAAGTTGGACAAGCGAAGTGCCCTCAGGTGCTCCTCGTAAGCCTTGCCGTTTAGGCCTTTCGCCATCTTGGTCACTCTCCTGAGGACACACCCTTGACAGTCTGATGTCCTTCTTCAGCCCAAAGCTGCCCAGAGTGCTCGAGGTGGGGCCGCAGCGGTGCCATGCGGAGCGGGACAGCCACGTCCCTCACCCAGGGTGCTGGGTCGTGCTCCGTGCACCCCAGGGCACAGCTGGCCCTTGGGCTGCCAGGGCACGCTGCCAGCTCACGTTCGGCTTGCTGTCAAATGGATGGAATTAATGAATAGGAGTAATCTTAAAAACGCATGTGAAGAGCCCATTTTTCCTTCTGTTTGAGACAAATATTTTATAAACAAGTTCAGGAGAAAGCGGTTTGGGACTCCCTGCAAGTGCTGTGCATCACAATTGATGCAAACTGGAGAGACAAATAAAACGCGCATCAGATACAATCAGAATAAAACTCAGGCAAATTGTGTTTTGTCTTCCTTTGAGCTTAGTTGTAGAGGAGTTGTTTAACTGGAAATGGTAAGAAGTGAAATACAGGAGATACACAAAAAAAGAGAAAACTCGGTTTGCTTAGGCCAAATCTTATAAGCACAAATGTTGTGGAAGTGTTTTATCACGGATGCCAGAGGACCTCTTACACACTGTCGGTAGCCCAGCACAGTGGCGAGACAGGACTTTTGAACAATCTGTTACGACTTATTGTGAATCCCAGTCATGTGTCTGCTTGGAAATAATCCATCATTCCTCAGTGGCCCATGCAATCCTATGGTGTCCATAGTTTACCATCTTTCTTCCAAAGCGTGTCACTTATATCCTCTTTTTTGTCTGCTGCAAGCAACTTTTCAGTTCCGTGTCTAAACATACAGAATTATGGAATCACAGGATTGTTGAGGTTGGAAGGGACCCCTGGAGATCATCTAGTCCAACATACCTGGTCAGAATGGGGTTTGATTAATGCAGTTGCCCCAGGCCATGTCCAGCTGGGCTTTGAGTATCTCCAGAAATGGAGACTCCACAACCTCTCTGAGCAAACTGTTCCACTGTTTCACTACAGTGAAAAAGGTCATTAGTGAAAATATTAAACAGTATTGACCCTTGGGCTACTTCACTAGTGATCAGCCCTCAGCTGGACTTCGTGCCACTGATCGAAACCCTTTGAGCCTGAGATTTTGACCTGTCCACTGCTCTAGTTTGTACTTCCATCAGTTTGACAATGGAGATTTTACATGAGAGTGTCAAAAGCCCTTCTGAATTTTTTCTAGCACTAGGTCTTTGCTTAGATGCTCTTTCGAAGACCAGAAGATCTTTTGGCATAATTGGGTGTATCTCCTCTGCAGCTTATTATTTTTTGAGAGGTTAGCATAAGACTTGTGAGGAGGTATAATGGGCAAAGATCCTCACATCCTAGTCAAGGGAGTGATGAGTCTGAGTCTGTTTCTCAGTTTGGGAAGTAAAGTAGTCCTGGATGGGCCCTATTTTAGCTCAGTGCTGCAACCCTTTCATTTGCCAGGTGGGTTACAATAAACAAATGTGTTTCTGAGAAAATATGTGTCTCTGAAAAAAACTCACCTGTATATTCTGTTCTATATGAATACCTGTATTAGTTCACACAAATCTGTGTTCTGTTTCTGAAGTTGTAGTTTTTCCAAGAGTCAAAGATTAAGGGTGGCTGCTTGCCATTTAAACACCTGGCTCGTTACCTGATGTGCAGTAGTGTCTCTTTTTCTCACGTAATGAAGTGTTAGAGCCAAGTGCAAATATAACTGTCTTCATGCTCATGTGGCTTGTTCTAAACTGCAATATTGTAAATAAACAATGTCACTGCATGGAGTCTCTGTGCTATCACCACTTGCTACCAAGAATGAAACAAAATGTTCTGAGTACGATTAGGTAATCAGAAGTTAGGACATTTCCCTTTTGTTGCCCAGAAAGTAGCTAAGAGGTCTTTTCTGCTGTTGAGCAGGATTTCAAAATATTTTGGAAAGGCTACTGGAATAATTTTCCTTTTCCTATTGTAGTAGGATTCTGACTTTGTCACATGGAGATAATTTTCACTTGCTAGTACCCTACTGAGTGTTTTGAAACGGGAATTTCTCAGTAGTCCTTGATAGCTCACTTCAGTCAACAGCTGCCTTAGACTTTGCAACTTTTCTCGGTCGAAGCTGTCCCTGTATTTTTGGAAAACAGAGTTGTGGCTCACTGGTCCCTTATTCTCTCTGAAAGTAAGAGTTCTTTTGAAAATTAGCAATTAAATCCATGTAAGATTCCTTGCAGAATTATATGTAAAGGGGACAGACAATCAGTTAGATCTAAGCCTGATAAAATATGAGCAGGCTCTTTCTGAAAGGTGAGATAATAGAAGTTGACTGTGCTTATTATAGAGTGAATTAGGTGAAGACTTACCGTGTATAAACCTGTCTAGTCCTCTTGTTTCATGATGTGAACCAGGAGAGAACCCTGCTTACAAGTTTCGTTTCAGCAAAGCACACATAGGATGGTTTATTTTAACCTTGATTGCTATTGCATAGTATTCCTCGTTTTGCATGGAAAATTCCTTCTGTGATTTTCAAGTGTCTGTTTAGTTTTTCTCTCTGTTCAGTTCAAGGATGTTCTTTTTTGGTAGCTGGGGTTTTGTTTTGGATTGGTTTTTTTTAGTATAAATACAGAGGTGACACTTAGCCTTTTACACATTGCACTGAAGAAGGATTCCTGAGAAATATGATGAAACTTTCACTCACAATCTGTCCCATTTTGCTTTCAATTATTTGTTGCTTAGGGATCTACACACACATTAAAATGATACATGTAAAAGGAAAAAATTCTGTGGGTACAAATCAAGATTCGTCTTGCTCTTTCCTAAGCCAGTGCTAGTACTCAGTCAAGGAAAACTCTCTTTTAAAATATTACTTTCTCCTTGTTAAGGCTAGAGCAGTGTGGCCCTGAGCATTCTGTCTGAAAGTATACAGCATTTCTTTAGATGTTGTTTGTGGTAATGTGTAGGAACCAAATTATTATGAATTATTCAATTAATGTGGGCATTGCGGCTGATTTTTAAAAATACTTTAAAAAGCTGATTTGCATCTTTGGGAGAAAGTAACCTTCCGTGCTGAATTAATACTATTTTTATCTAAGTGTAGAAGTACTACTAGTTCAAAACAGGTTTAAATGAAGCTGCTGTACCAAATATCATGGGAGTGATAATGTGCTTAGGAATTCTGAACATGACAAATTAAGTACTTTTTTTAACAGCATGCCATCTTCTTGAGACACACTGTCCTTTAAGAGTAAAAGGAAATGATACTTTCTTAAAATTTCCAGTTTATAAGTTAGTGTCTGTAATTTATTGTCTAAAGCAGTAGTAGTGAGATACTACTCATCCACACCCTCTTCTTGGTGATTCAGATTTTTCAGTCCAGCTGATTTCCTCCGTGGAGGTGCCTTGAAAATGAGTCTTGATCAGCCACGCTGACTTCTCTTTGCCGTTTAAATCTGTGTTCATGCATCTTAATGTCAAGGTTAGCGTGGGATCGTGTGGCTGGGCAAGCCCCCAGTGACATGAGGAGTTTGACACAGCTGCTGCTGCTGGAGTGAGAAGCGTCGGTACTCCGGGCTCAGGGCCGTTGGTGCAGGTTGTGCCCAGCTTGTGGCCTTTCCCAGGGTGGCCACCCCCGAGGGACAGCAGTGCCAGGTCACCTGTTCAGGTTTTGTTGCGCCACCTTCCCACTGACGGTGACCTTAGCTGTTCCAGAATTCCATCTCTTGTCTCTCTTTCTCCTGATTTTGTGTAGGTGCTGGGATGGCTGGAGAAGGTCGCGATTTGCAGTTGAGCTGAGGGAGGCGTGAAGTATCATCCATCCCCTGCTGACATTTCAGGTAGTGTGATAACATCTATCTTACCTGCAAGTGACTTTATTATGAATGATGGCTCAGCAGAACAATCAATAGTATCCTGTAGCGCTCTGCAGATAATCCTTACAGATCCCATGATCCGTTCCTACAGAAGGTGATAATGATAATATGCAGTATACAGAATTCTGAATGGGATCCCATTGTCGTATTTGATTACCCCAAACAAATAGAGACATTTTAATTAAGGCTGTCAGATTCAATCCCGATGTAAATTGATGGCTTCAAGCCCATTTCTACCAATCTCTAGTAGCCAGCATTTGAGACAAAGGGCTTGGTAACTGGTAGAAGTGCTTAAAACCCATTTTTCCATGCCAGAGAGAAATTATTATATTGTATTTTAATGAGAAATTTCTCATTTATAATGTTACTTAAAGTATTAATTGCCTGACTTTTTAAATGCACAACACTAAAACAAATGGAGAAAAAAAAAAAAATCTGTGTTTTGCCATGGAGAGAGAATGTGAAAATGTGTATCAGAACATTGCAGATAGTGAATCCCGGTTTAAATTACACTTAAATGACATCTAGTTTGAATGTATTTATTGGGTCTAATTCACATCTGGAGTGCATTACTGAAAGCTTAATCAGATTACAGTGGGGTAAATTTGAATCAAACATCGCAGAAATACGTTGTGATGCAAGGGATGTGGACCTATGATTGCTCATGTGGTGGAACTGGAAAGCTGTTACCTGGTCTTAAATGTGACTTTACAGCTGCTATCTGTGTACTGTAGCAGTTTTATGAGACTTAACTGGCTATTTCTGTCTAACCATACACAAATATAACGTCATTAGAGAAATTCTGGAGACTTTTTGCTTTGGTTTCGATAACAGTAGGTCAAGCTTGCCACCCTATGTCCATGTTTTTAATGTTTCTGAAACCAGATGGTGGAACGCTGGATGCATTCATTGCACTATAGATCCCTGCCTGGCAGACTTTTCTAAGGATATACCAATTCCACTAAGAAAATAAGAAGGTCAGAATTGTGAAAAATTACTTGTAAAAATGCTTGTAAAGTAGGCGTCTCTTACAGTCGTTATGGCCCTCCTCAACCAAAGCCTTCTTTGTTATGGTTACCTTCCCTTCTCATACAGAGTTAAGCACACTTGAAAAACAATTTATGAATGAATTCTCTCATTTTATAGTTGAATCATGGCAACACAACCATAAAGAAAGCTGCTTCTGTGCTCTGTTTTCCTGCCTTTCTGTGCCCAGGAAGGTTGTTGATCCCTAGCTAAGTTGCCCATTCCCAGTTCCTCTGCGAGCAGCAGTGCAAGAATCATGGCCAGCGCTGGGAGGACGCAGCTTGGACACGGGGTCTGGCTTCTACTTCTGAGCCCCGCCATGGGCTCACTCAGGGGTTCTGCCACCCTCTGTAACCTCGTCATGTTTCAGTTTCCCATTTGTAAATGAAGGCTAAGAATTCTTAACTTCCAGAAGGAATCAAAATGTGCCAGTCCTCAGGAAATGCTGTTACTCACGCAGTGCCTGTCGTATTTGATGTGATATTGATGCTGTGTTGAGTGACCCTGGCCTTGGAAATTGATGGTGAATCCCTAGTTGGTAAAAATAATTTCTGTGGTGCTTTCTCACTTGGTATTTTCCACTAACTAGAGATACAGAACGTTTTGGCACAGGGAGGAGAAACACGTCTGTAATTTATATTACCTGTGCTAAGCTAGTTTTAGATTAAGAACTGAAAGTGTGATGATTGCCCCCATGTAGATCAATTAATGGCTTAGCTTCACATACTTGCCTTTCAATACACATTTGGCAATACCAAACCCAGACTTAGTCATCTGGAAGCAAGTTTACTGCTCAGCTCTTCAGTGAAATTGAGACATTTAATGCATTATGCACAGTGGGAAATGTTCATCTGCACATTTTCTAGGCTGCGATTAATAAAGTGTTCTACTCTGAATGAGGTTTTTGTTTATCCTAAATGAATGTGTCGCATTCTTTCCTTAAAAATTAAACACATGCCTTGTTATTTCAAGTCTGGGATACTGAAAGTGACCCATAGATGTGGCGAGAGTAATCTGTGCCTCATTGACATTTACAGTCCCAGTGGAAGATAACATATGAGGCACAGCTTTAAATAGATTTTGACAGTGCTAGTAGTTCTGCTTAATATGCTGGAAAAAAATTTAATATCTGGCCAAAAGTAGCAGAGCTGTTTGCAAAATAACTGCTGTAAAATATTCCAGTAACTGTACTTTCTTTAGCTATTAACACTTATCCAGCTACCTGGTCAACACACCTCTCTGTCCTTTAAATCAAGCTCTGATAAATTGCTTGCTATGAAATACAACATATGGAATATGGAAACCATTTATGGTGCTGTGAGAGCATAAGAAAAGCTAAGAGTACGGAAATAAAATTGGCTGTTCCTTCACAATTTGGGAAAAAAACTTACAGGAATACAGGGCTTCTCCTTTTGAACAGCCTTTTAAGTTCAGGGAAAGACTTGCCTACGCTGAAAAGGTCAGTAATACAATAAATGTATCCATCAGTGTAACACCAATGTGCTGTAATACTTCTCTCATCAAGCAGCTTGTTTGGTGATGGTAGGTTACCACAGACTAGGTATCCACCATGTGTGTGTTATGTTCACTAGTTTGTGACTGAGATCAGATCCAAATCCTGCAGTTGATAGTGTTGCGAATAGATCAGATGCATAGATACCTAACTAAAAAAAAACAGAACACTTTTTTTTTTTTAGCTTTTTGTCTATTCCTCATACTCTTGCTTGATCAATTCGTCATACAGTTTGAAGGGTTTATTTTTTAGCATTTAATGATACAGTCATCAGTAAGACAATTTAATTTGCTGCTAAATAAATTGAGTTAAATTGTGCTGCTGTTGAGTCATATGTTACTGCAAATTTGAAATCAAAGTTAAGATTTAGTTTGAACAAGTCTGGTAAAGTCAGATATTATGTCCTGGCAAAGGGCTACAGGCAGCCACATTTTACTAACTACTGCACATAAAATAGAAAAGAAACCAGGGATGTTAACATTGAAATATACTGCACAAAGTATTTACTTAATGGTCTTTTTGTTTCTTTGTGGACGTCATCTACCTGGACTTCAGTAAGGCCTTTGACACTGGTCCCCACAGTATCCTTGTGGAGAAACTAGCTGCCCATGGTTTCCATGGGTGTACTTTTCACTGAATAAACAACTGGCTGAATGGCCGAGTGCAGAGAGTGGTAGTGAATGGAGTTAAATCCAGCTGGCGGCCGGTCACAAGTTGTGTCCCCCAGGGTTCAGTTTTGGGTCTGGTCTAGTTTAATGTCTGTATCAGTGATCTGGATGAGGGAATTGAGTGCTCCCTCAGTAAGTTTGCAGATGACACCAAGTTGGGTGGGAGTGTCAATCTGCTTCAGGGTAGGAAGGCTCTGCAGAGGGATCTGGACAGGCTGGATCAATGGGCTGAGGCCAACTGTATGAGGTTCAACAAGTGCCGGATCCTGCCCTTGGGTCACAGCAACCCCATGCAACGCTACAGGCTTGGGGAGGAGTGGCTGGAAAGCTGCCCAACAGAAAAGGACCTGGGAGTGCTGGGCGACAGCCGGCTGAACATGAGCCAGCAGTGTGCCCAGGTGGCCAAGCAGGCCAGCGGCATCCTGGCTTGGATCAGGCATAGTGGGGCCAGCAGGACCAGGGCAGGGATCAGGTCCCTGTACTGGTACCGGTGAGGCTGCACCTCGAGTGCTGTGTTCAGCTTTGGGCCCCTCACTCCAAGAAATGCGTTGAGGGGCTGGAGCATGTCCAGAGAAGGGCAGCGAGGCTGGGGACGGGGCTGGAGAACAAGTCTTGTGAGGAGTGGCTGAAGGAACTGGGGCTGTTTAGTCTGGAGAAGAGGAGGCTGAGGGGAGACCTTATTGCTCTCTACAACTACCTGAAAGGAGGTTGTAGTGAGGTGGGTGTCAGGCTCTTTTCCCAAGTAACAAGTGATGGAATGAGAGGAAAACAGGCTGCCCAGGGAGGTGGTGGAGTCACCATCCCTGGAAGTGTGTAAAAAACGTGTAGATGTGGCACTTTGGGACATGGTTTAGCAGGCATGGTAGTGTTGGGTGGATGGTTGGACTCGATGGTCTTAGAGGTCTTTTCCAGCCTAAGATTCTATGATTCTTTTAAAGACAATACTCTGCAGTCACTGGTAGCCACTTTTATTCTGGCTCTTACTTCTGAGTAGAGTATCTCATGAACACGCTGTCTTAGAATTATTTGTGAAAAATAGATACTCCAGACTAGATACGCTACACTGAACCAGTAAGAAGAGTCAAATTAGATAAATCTGTGGAAACCTCCCACACATGGCTCATTGTGCTTTAAAAATGCACTCCAGCGAATCAAGTCTTACACTGTACATACTACTTTACAGTTTATTATGCATGAGCAGTAAAAACATGTCCATATGGTTCAATCTTTGCAGTAGTACGTGGGAAGTAAATCTGGATTTTAGAAGGGCTAAGCTCAGTATTCCCACATAGCTGCAGTGGTCCCACTGTTAGTTTGGCAGCATCAGTGTGTCTTACCCTCTCCACCCTCTGTATCTCACCCCTCTGCCCTCTGTGCCCTCTCGCAGGGGAAGCAGCTCATTCCTTTCGCCATGCTTTGCAAGGAACTCTCCTCTTCCCATCTCTTTTCCTCATGAAGGCAGTTGCCCTCCTACTTCATCACTAGCAGACATCAAGAAATAGCAATAAGGAAAGGAGGGGAGCAGGGGGCTGGAAAAGCACAGCTCCCCATCTCCCTGCGCCGATGGCGATGGGAGGAAGCCAAGCTCTCCTTTGAGCTGCGGCTGGCAGAAAAAGCTGAGGGATTCAGGCAGCCTTCATGGCTTTGAAAGCCATTTCTTGTCTCCTCGAGGCAGAAGCGACACAGGTGGGATGGCATTGTTTCATGGGCTAGATCTGCTTTATGAACTACATGCTATAAATAAAAACCTACTTAAA